TCATCAGAGGCCCAGGCCCTGCCCGCCTTCTTGCTCTGCAGCTGTGGTTGATGACAACCACCCTCTCATGACTCAAAGATGGCTCTGGGAGGAACAAGGTCCCACATGGGCAAGCTGGGGACAGAGGTGCAAAACGGTGGCCTATCTTCCTCTGCCCCTCTCTTGGTTATAAGGGAGAAATATCTTTTCCCAGAAGACCTCAGATGACTTCCCATTAAGTTCCACAGACCGGAACAGAATCACATGCTCATTTCAAAGCAATTTGTAGCAAATGAGAATAAGATGGTCACAATTAGCTGGGAAACCTTTGTTCACCCCCTAAGGCTAGACACATTACAACTAGCTGTCTGAAGGAATCTGGAGTTCTGTTCACAAGGAAGGAGGTGTGGCAATCCAGAGGGCCTCCCAAACAGGGATGATGAGCAACTTGTACTGTTGAACACTTGCAGTATAAGGTGGTGTAGTACATATCAAGTGTGCATTAACGCATTTAATTCTCGATAGCTCAGGACCATTATCATCTCCATTTCTCAGATGAGAGAGCAGGAGTGGGGAATTCACAGAGCTTCCCCCAAGGTCTGTACCTAGTAAGCTGTATAAAAGGATTTAAAAGACAAGGAACCAATCAGGCAGTGGTGGCGAACGCCTTTACTCCCAGCAGAGGCAGGCGGATCTCTGTGAGTTCGAGGCCAGCCTGGTCTACAGATCAAGTTCTAGGATAGCCAGGGCTACATAGAGAAACTCTGTCTGGGGGGGAAAGAAAAGACAGAGAAGGATCCAGCAAAAAGCTACACTTGAGGACTGTTAGTGCAGAGAGCACACTTCATGGCGGGCCTTTAAAAACATTTCCTAAGCCGGGCGGTGATGGCGCACGCCTTTAATCCCAGTACTCGGGAGGCAAAGGCAGGCGGATCTCTGTGAGTTCGAGGCCAGCCTGGTCTCCAAAGCGAGTTCCAGGACAGGCACCAAAGCTACACAGAGAAACCCTGTCTCGAAAAAGAAAAAAAAAAAAATTTCCTAGTTCTTAGTATCAAAGTATTTTTTTAAAGTTTGTTTTTGTTTTTCACTTTTATTTTGAGTATGGGTATTTTGCCTACAAGTATGTCTGTACACAATACGTGTGCCTGATGCCCACATAGGCCACATGTGGGCATCCAATATCCCCTGGAAATTGGAGTTACGAATGGTTGTAAACTGCCATGTGGATGCTCGGAATTGAACTCAGGTCCTCTGTAAGAGTATCTAGTGCTCTTAACCACTGAGCCATGTCTCCAGTATCAATTTTCAAAATTTTTTAAATCCACATAATATTAAGAATCCAACTTTATTTTGTAGACATAGAGCTCAAAGCCAGGGTCTCACACACACTGAGCTAGCTAAATGCTTTCAAATGTTTAGCACCAGAAATAAAAATATAATGATTATCTTTGTTCTTATAGTTTTCTTCATTAGAAGCTTTTCTTTAGAAAAAGTTCCAAAGAGAGGGATTACTAGGCCAAAGGGTTTGAGCATTTGGATGACTTCTTGTATCGAAAGCCAGTTTGCTTGGGTGGTAGTGGGACACTCCTTTAATCCCAGCACTCGGGAGGCAGAAACAGGCAGATCTCCGAGTTCAAGACCAACCTGGTCTACAGAGGGTGTTCCAGGACAGCCAGAGCTACACACAAAAGACCCTGTCTCAAAGAACCAAAAAACAAACAAACAAAGCCAATGAACTCAACTGTCAGAAATGTAAGAACACCCCACTTTCTGAAGTCACCCCAGCTTCACCTTATTCCCATTTATATGTGTTTAATGACCATAACTTTCTATCTTTTGCTTCTTTGCAGTGGGATGTTTCTCTGCATACGTTGGCAAGTGTTCCCTCCTGTGAAAGTCTGAAGATTCTTTGCCCATTAACTTTTCTGGTTCTTCGTCCTTTTGTGATTCACGGATTTCAAAACAAGGCTGGTTTAATTTCATTTCTGCAAACTGTGTGTGTGACTGAATGAATGGTTGGTGCCAACATACACTGGGAGAGACCCAAATCTGAGCTGCTTCCTCCAACGTCCTGAATTTCCACAACTAAGGCAGGAATTTCAACCTCAGTGTAAAATTACGAACAAGGATTTTCCACTGGCACATATTTCTGTCTACGCACCAGTCCTCGCTTTCACAGTCAAGTGCACTCTACAGAGAGAGGACTACTCTTGTCTGGAATAGCCACCATTGTGAGACTTACACCTCATGGTCTTTATCCTGAAATTGCTAGTAGGGATAAAATCAGAGGGGAACAATACCTTCAGACTTTGTTTTGCTCAAATTAAAAAACAAACTCAAAACACAATGAAATTATTCAATCTTTTACCAAATAAATAAAAGAAAAATGAAGCACACGCCATAGGCCACACTTTTTAGACTTCGCCGTTCTGCCTTATTTTTATTATATTGCTATTACCTAAATATTTATTCTCAAACCAGAGTGTTTTAAAAATATACATTCCTATCCCGCTGCCCCAACCAAAATCTTTACAGTTACAGCCTATAAATTCACACTTCTAAAAATATTCCCCAAGTCTTCAAATACTTTTTCTCACTAATTCTCACTTTAAGCCTTGGGAAGAACCATAAGCTAATGTTTATGTTCTTACACACTGCTAAGGACGTCTGCATTGTTTGAGAATGGGCTGCTAAAAGACAGCTTACTCTGAACTAGCCCTGCGCCTACAGAACAGCAGAGACAAGAAAACAGTTGGCTTCTACAGATCCTGACCACCTGAAAGTTCCAAGTTGTCCTTGACTTGAGGCTTACCACGTGGTATCAGGATCTCCAGCCTAATTGTAACTCACCTCCAGGTGCTCTCTGAAGGGAAGTATTCAGGAATTCTCAGTGCTATTATAAAATTGTTGTTGTGCTTTGTTTGATCGTTGGTTGGTGTTTTTGTTGTTGTAGTTTGGGAGCATATTGTTTGTTTTGCTTTGCTTTGCTTTTTGTTTTTTGTTTTGGTTTTGGTTTTTGGAGACAGGGTTTCTCTGTGTAGCTTTGGAGCCTGTCCTGGAACTCGCTCTGTAGCCCAGGCTGGCCTCGAACTCACAGAGATCCGCCTGCCTCTGCCTCCCGAGTGCTGGGATTAAAGGCGTGAGCCACCACTGCTTTTTGAGACAAGGTCTTGAAATGAATGATAAGCGGTGCTGGTGGCAGTGCTGGCTACCGCGTGGAAAGGTCACGGTCACAACAGAACCCAATATTAGTTTTAGAGCTTTATTAGGAGGAAGAGGGGTGGGGGAGAAGAACCAGGCCTGGGAAAAGAGCATGTGCAGTGAGAAAGATGGTGGGGGAGATCAGAGCAGAGAGAGGGTGGGGTCTGCGTCCAGCTTTTTAAGGGTTCCCGGTGAACACACACAGGCGGACTTACGGAGCTACACCACGCATGCGCTGATTGCGTGACCACACGGAGCACACGTAGTCGCCAGCACACGGATGACACCCTTAACTCCTGAACTGCACGTGTGTGGTCACGCAGCTGGAGTGAGGGCAGAATTCTAACAGGTATCTCTCTCTAGCCCTAGCTGTCCTGGAACTTACTATGTAGACCAAGGACACAGAGATCCTCCTGCCTCTGCCTCAGAGTGCTGCCATGCCCAAAGGTTGGCTGTTTTTTAAAAAACACTCAAAAATGAGCAAAATCTCCTGGGATAGAGGTGGTACATCCAGTCATAACTTTTACTTTTCAAATTTTTCTTAAATGTTTTGTGGAAGCTATCTTTATGCTTTAGGGGAAAATAAATGAGAATTCATAAAATCTGGTGGCATTCCCAATATATTTTTATCTGTCAGTTGCTTGAAACTATCCTTCCTGTCAGTTACACATTATTACAAACTTATTCTAAGTTATCAATAAACACAATAGTCAAAGTATTCAATAATGCTGATATAAGCATCAGGCAATTATCAGGGATTATCTGCTCACATTCCACATATGTGAATAAAATGGTAGTTTAATAATCTCTCCAATAACGTCAACTTTTCTATTCTGTTAACATGAATTATCTTATACAAAGGAAAGAAAATGAGAGCTGGAATAGTGTAGATACTTTATTATGTCAGCTCTATACTAACTCTCCAGGTTTGTCCATATAGGTGTTTAATCCTAAAAAGGATTCTAGCAGGGGCCTTCCACAGGGGACGAGAGGGCAGGAAAGGGGAGGGAAGGGGAAAGGGAGGGGAGGGGCGGGGAAGAGAAAGGAGAGGATGGAGATAAGGCCCTGGGGTTAGCTTTATATTCCCTCAGCAGCCCAGATAAAGAAAATGCTGTATGAGGTGGGCTAGGAGCAGGTGCACAGCACTCTGTGACCCTGTAGTCAACAAAAGAAAAGGTAACTTGCAGGAGCACACTGTCGCCTCCAGCACCAGAGAGTTCTTATTAGTCTTCTTCATTCTAGAAATAACATTTAGAATCTGCCCAGGACCCTTGAGAGATTACATTAACGTTTCTTAGCTCAACTACCCAGTGTGGAATATTCTTCATCCAATTCTGCACTACACAGGAAGCAAATCTTTGGGCCCCATGAACTGAAACAAACGCAGGTATTCGGTATCTTACTGCGGTATCTCAGGTCAGACTTGTGGCTGGATCCTATGACTGGCCAGAACCTCAGTACTTCCCAACCGGTCCTGCTAAAGGCTCCTAACAGCAGAGGAGCATGATGGTCCAAGTGTAACATTCCCTGCATCCCCTCATGGTGATCATTAGAACGTTGCAGGCATTCCCTAAATACGGTTAGAAAATAAATGTTATGTATATTTATTTTAATATCAAAATTATGTTTCTTTAAAAACTAGGTCTAGCCGGGCAGTGGTGGCTCATGCCTTTAATCCCAGCACTTGGGAGGCAGAAGCAATCAGTATTTCTATGAGTTCAAGGCCAGCCTGGTCTACAGAGTGAGTTCCACAACACCCAGGGCTACACAGAGAAACTGTCTGGCGGGGGGGGGGGGGGGGGGGGGGGGGGGGACCCCACTAAGTCTAAAGCTGATAGTCCATTATTATTATTGAAGAACACAGAAAGACTATAAAAGCCAGAAGAAGGTGAGGGCAGGAGGGTGGGGGAGTGGTAAAGAGATCTCATTTCCTGGCATAGTGTATTTGCTGTACTTTTGAACTCACAGCAGATGTAATTACCTGCACAAGATCTCTACAAGACTGGGCCTACCACCCTGCCATGGGAGGGGGAGGGGCTCACAAGGCCTCACCTCTCCCTGAGTTCTTATACAGATAAGAGCTGATGGGCGCAGACAGACATCTTCATCAGAAGTGTAGCCACTGGTACTACCCGTGCTCCTAAAAATAAACTCCCACCCAGGCTCCTGCAAACCACCCTAAGGAAACTCACTGAGTTGTTTAAAAAAAAAAACACGAACTTTCATGGAAGAGGAAGGGGATTAACAAGAGTTACAGAAGCAAGAGAGGGTGAAAATGATTGAAACGCATTATGTATATGTATGAAAATGTCATAATGAAACCAATTATTATGGATAATTAGTATATGCTAATAAAAAGCATTTTGAGTAATTAAATAAAATTGATACTCCTAGAGAAATCCAATGAGGTGCATACCTGTCATCTACTCTATTCAAAATGCTCCTGGTCCCATCCGTGAAACACACCCAAAAGCAATTCCTGAGACAGTTGTCCAGTGTGCTGCCCAAAGGTCCTGGACCACAGCTGTCTGCACCAGGGTAACATCCACTTTAGGGAAGCCAAGGAGGGCCCTAAGGTGTGAATGTGAGGAAGAGATGAACAGGGTAACAGTCCATCTCTCCTTGGCTGAACCCATAGGCAGGTATTCCACTACTGAGGTCCAGAAACACAGGACTCTCTAAGAAGTCTAAAAAGGTAGTCTTCAGAAAAGGAAGTAATTAAGATAATTCAAACAAAAGCATGGGGCATGGAGTAAGAGGGACTTTAGTCTGTCTCCCTGTGGATGTCCAAACCATGGACCATCCATCTGGGACCAATATCCACCATGCAGAGGCTTAGCTACCTAAGGGGCTCGCCTCAGCATGCCACAATCCGCTCATTTGAGACACATGAGCTAAATGACAAAAATCATGGACAAAATATGGCCATCTGAGGCCTCAGTCACACGAGAAGAATCATGCGCTCAATTATGTTTTGCCTCAACAATACTGAGGGGGCAGAGGGGAACACAACTTAACAACCATGCAGGCTCTTGCTTGAATATGAACTAGGAATCCTGCTTACCTAGCAGAACGAAAACAGACCCAGCATGCCTTTAACTGACATAATTCAGAACGGAGAATCTGAAAATTACAAGTTAGGAGTGTGTGAGAAGACTACAGGCCTGTCTTGGGCAGCGCTCGGAAGTTCCTTTTTGCCAGGTTGCTCCTTCACCGTTTCACTTCAGTACTGATACTCCTGACGGTGTAGAAAGGAGTGGTCAAGGTCCCCAGCCAGGGTGTCCCACTAACAACCACGCATTGTCCCAAACAAGTGAGCCAGGAGGGCAGGCCTGGAACGCTGGCTGAGCTCACAGCACCCCTGTCATGACATAACGCAAACAGCAGGACACTGTCCTTGCTTAAGGACTTTTCACTAGATAAAAGCAAGGTGGAACTCCGCCTATGTGCATTGCTCAGGAAGAGGGACTCGACGTATCTGGTATAAAACTACAAAAATAATTGGGAAAGGAATCTTGAAATACTCTAAATTTATACTTTCTTTGTGGGGACTATTTTTAATATGAATGATTTCAGAAAAAAAATGTATGGATGAACTATGAAGCCATATTCAAAGCTACAGTAGAACTCTACGGAATACACAGCACTTTCACGGAATTCTCTAGAGAAGCAGGCAATCTAAAATCCGCAGGGAAAGAAAGAAAAAGCAGCAGTCAGATGAAGGAGGAGCTTAGCAACCGTAACAATGGATCAGGCTAGTCTAGTCTGGGATTCTGAACTCCAGGGCGGGGAAGAACAAAACCTCAGCACTCAGGCGTCTCCCTAGGAAAGACTCCTCTGGTCCAGTTTGTGTCTTTGAAGGACCTTTTAATCTAAAGGTTCCAAAACGTCATCTGTACTCACTAACAGGTTCACAGGAGACACATGTGAGCACAGGCCAGCCAAACATCAGACATCCCGACACACCCTCCCTACCTGAAAACGAGACTAAGGCACACTGCGGCACCCCGGGGCGCACCGCGGCACCGCACCCGGGGCGCACCGCAACACCGCACCCGGGGCACACCGCAACACCGCACCCGAGGCACACTGCGACACTGCATCCAGAAAGAAACCAAACAAAGCAGGATAAACAGGAAACAGAATGCACCATCAAACATCTTCAGGAGCCACCATTTTTAGGACACAGACTTCTAAGACCTTTCTGAAGAAGGCATGTACAGCCAAACACGCTAACACAACCCCCAGCAGAAACAGATTTAAAGCAAAGGCCTCTCTGTTTCAGAAAGTAACACAGGAAAAGAAGGGTCCCAAGGCTGCAGCATACAAACAAGCCAAGCCACTCAGGGCATAGGTCAACCACTTCCTGTGAACTTTGAGCTAATCACATGACCCTGGCCCAAAACGTCTAGGTGTCACCAATTAACAGCAAACTGTCCTATAAAGGGCTTCAGCTACCTCACAGGGTTAAAGCCTAAAGACAGGGTCTACAGAGAGAGACACTATCTGCAGGCTTCAGAACTCCCGAAGTTCAGGAGAGAGAGGGCTGGTAGACATCGCAAAGCAGTGAGAGAAGCTGTTGTCCATGATAACCAAGTACTCCGTGGAAATGCCAATCCAATTCCAAGAGCGCTCCGCTAACACAGGCTCAGGTTTAAAAACTCGGGCCCTCAATTTGCACCCATCCTGGGACCTGCACAGAACTTGCCCAGGTCAGGGGCCAACATCTATTTTAGGCCATTTTACCCTGGAAATCACCTGGTAAAGTCATGAAGACCTACCTGGCAGAGCTGGATATTTGTGAGTTCAACATCATTTGACAACAGTCTTTGGGGTTTTTGTTTTGGGGTGTTACTTTGAGAACGGGTCTCACAATCTTCCTACCTCCACTTCAAGTGGTTGGATGACCAGCATATACACCACCATGTCCAGCACCACTAGTTGTCAAGAGGTTGTCTTTAAAAAAAATTAAAAGTGTACAAAATAAGCTTTTTTAGCAAAACTAAAAGAATTGGAGAGGGAGGAATCATGATTTCTTTTGGTAGCATTTTCTTTCTTCTTCACACCTTAAAACAACTTATTACTTTAGCACATTTCTCCTACATTATAGGAAGACATACATACCAAAATCCATGAGTTAATTACCTGTAAGTGCCAGCCTGTGGCATAGAAGCCCCTTCACATCGGTGTGCAGTGACCACCGTTCTCCATCTCTAGAACCTGTGCAAGAGTTCATCTGAAACTCTTTCCAAACAACAGACCCCAGGGCTCTCCCTTAGAACCTGGCTGCCACTATCCTGCCTTCCATCTCCAGGGATCGGCCGCCCTGGATACCTCATGTACCAGGATGAAGTCATAGTTAAATGTCCAGTTTATTTTATTGAACATAATGCTCCCAGTACAATACCTTCAGGCTTCATCCAGGTTTCTCATTCCTTTATTATTATTATTAATGTTCTTTGACAGTTTCATCCGTGTAAATAACGTATTTTGGTCTTTTCTCAGCCCTCCTCCATTCCCTCTCCCATCCTCTTCCCTCACTCAGTAAACCCCTCTCCCCAGCAAGCCACTTTCAGTCTTTTGTTTGTTTTGCTGTGACCCACCAAGTTTAATTAAGGTTGCTTAGACGACCATGGGTGGGGGGTTATTTACAGGAACATAGGCCATTTACCAGTGCTGAAGAAAATGACTCCTCCCTTGGTAATCATTATTGCCAACAGTTCCTCAGGGAGGGGCGGGACCTTCAAAGTCCCTATCCCATCCATGGTGAAATGTTGACAGGGCCCATCTTGTGCAAGTCTTATGCAGGTACCCACATCTGCTGGGATTCCATGAGTACATCGGCCCTGTCATGTTCAGAACTTTGTTTTTGTTATTCTGGTTTGGTTGGCATTGATTGGTTGGTTGGTTGGTTAGTTGGTTGGTTGGTTGGTTGTTTTCAGCTCAGGAGATTGACCCTAGGACCTCCTGAATGCTGGCACAAGGCTTCACCACTAAGCTACATCTTCAACCCTCATTCTTCTTAAGGCTAAGTAACAACCCACTGTGTGTACAGAGCACATATGTTTACCCATCTATCAACCACTGGAGTAGGAATTGTTTCCAGTTGGGGGACATTGTGAATAATCTCTTAGGATCTTCTGCCGGTGCATCTGCCCTTACATCTTGTGCATACATGCCTGAAATGGGTTGCTGGTTCAAACAGTTTGTTTGAGGAAGAACCACACTATGGTCCCATTTTACAGTCCATACCATTTTAAATTCCTCCCAGCAAGTCACAGGGTTCCAGCTTCTCCATGCTCTCATCAGCATCATTTCCTGTTTGGTTGGACTGATTGTTGGGTTGGTTGGTTTGATAGCCATCTTAATGAGTATGAAGTGGCACTTCATTCTGTGGCTTTGATTGACGTCCTTAATGACTGGTGATTGCTCCATCTTCTTTTAAATGGTGTTTCTAAAATCTCCCATTTTGTTTCCTCAGCCCTCTCTGGAGGATGAGAATGTAATCGTTGCTCTAAGCAGATACCCCTGAGACACTCCAGTTGTTCTCTGAGAACCAACTTCCAACACACTAAAAACAAAGAAACCAAAGTCTCCATGATTGAGGTCACAATCTCCTGTTTGAAACCTGGACAAAAGATAGTCCCAAAAGTTTCCTTCCAGGCTCTTAAAGATTAGGCAAAGCAGCCTTGAACGCAACCCTCCTATGATGCCGATAATGTCCACTGTTGTTGAAGTCTTGGGACTCTAGGAACGGGGTATCACAGGCTCTACTGTAAGCATGGGTAGAGCTTCTCCATCTCTCCCTCACTGCTCCCCCACATCCTCCTCTTCCTCATCCCTCCCCCACACCCATGCTCTCCCATCCCCCTTCCAGGGCTAGCAGAGAACACAATAGGCTGACAGAGTCAGCCTCCTCATTAAAGTAAACACACAGGCAGTGAAGGGGTTGGGGGTTTAAGATGCAATTGGGAAGGAGTGCTCCTTCTTCAATTGCTCAGGCCTCAGCTCTGCCTTGTCACGGTTTTCCAAGTGCCTGCACGGTGTCTGATCCCCATCCCTGTTTAAGATGATCCAACCTTCCTGAGGTGATTTGAGAAAATTTACACTTTACCTCCAAATCTTTTCCTTTATGGTAAAACTGTCTTCGGATTTGTGGTCATTGATTCAACAGGCACAATACTCTGCAGACCACTGTGGGCCCTGGGGGACCAAGTCTCTCCGCCCCAACCCCCACCACCATCACCACCAGGAGAGGTTGCCTTCCTCGGCTCTCTCTAAAACTCCTGAAGTGTCTCCTGTGCAGATAACCACCCTTTGTCTATAAGCAGAAAGTAGCTTATTAAAACGAGGATGTTCTAATAAAGAAAACAGGCCACTGTGTGATCTGAGCAAAATCATGCATTTCAAGGCCACACACACACACAAAATTATAATATCATTCACAAAGACCTGAACCAAACAGTCATTTGAAGGGAAATTTACCAAATGCTTTCTTGCCAACTCAAAATACCAGAAGATGAACAACCGCTTCTAAAAAGAACTGGCACCTGAGGTCTCTTTGCCAAGGACTGCCGACAACGCCCTGTGTCTTCTGTGGTAGCTATGGTTACTGCTGAGTCTACTGTTTACTGTAGAATGACAACAGGCACCCTGGAGAATCTAACTGTTTTGTTGTCAAACAGGCAAAAAATAAGAAGAAGATGATTAGAGCCACAATAAATAATATGAAGCCAAGAAGAGACTGGGCAGCCTGCCGGATTATCCCAGACCACCAGAAAAGACTAGACATCTAAGTCTCCCCTAGGAGGAGACTAGGACCCAAAAAGACTCAAACATCAAAATCACCTTTTCCACGTGTGATGGGATATAGAAAAAAAAAAAACAAACCACTGGAGGGAAAACATAGAAGTGTAAAATGCACACATAACTAGAACTCTCAACTAAGGATCTATCAAATATGGTGTGTGCTGAGCTTTACAACAAGCATCCGAATATTTGGGACACATCACCCCCTCCCAACTACAACAAAATATTCATGCACTTTTATACCAGCAAACCTTCCCAGGCATGCTACAGTTCCCTCCGACAGAAAGAACACTCTGGGCAGAGAGCAACAAACGAAATCCAGACAGGAAGTAGCCAGCAAGAATAAAGGCAGTGTCCTGGCACCATCTCCTTGTGGAAAAACAAGAAATAGTGCTCTACTTTAACAGAATTATTTTAGAGCCCAGAGCCAAATTATACTGTATATTAATTCGGCGAGCGATGGGAGTAAGGGGTTCCAAGTGAGGTTTCCATGTGTTGGCCCCGTGCCTAGAACCAGCGTCCTAAAGTCAGCTCTAATCACTGACCACTCACAATGCCAGAAGCAAATTCCCATCCAGAAGGAAGTATTTTGACCTCGTCCCTGGAGGTCAGCCTTTGCCAAGCTTTTTCTCATTGTGGTGCACATGGATATTCTCTATGCAAATTTCTACTTGCTAAAATAAGCGCAGCCTTCCCACAAAAGAATGTTCAAAGAAAGCAAAATGTTTTTAACTTAAGAATGACAGTACATTCCAAAGTTACTTTCCTAACATAGATGTCTGAGCAACACATTAAGCAAAAAAAGAAGAACACTGTATGACATATTCTGGGGCTATCACTGAATGATCATTATGCCTTTTAAGAGCTATGCGTCAGTTTCAAATGTGTGTGCAAACCCCAGCAGCAGAGCGACGCTAACAAGCCAATGTCAGCATCCTTCCCCAGAAGAGGCCCCTGGTTGTCTCCTGAACACACGCTCTCCACTTCCTCCACAGTAACAGACTCGGAGCCAGGCACATCACTGTCTAGGTGAAGATTGTATTTCCCAGGAACCCTTGCCGGTAAGTCAGCATATGACTGGTTCTGACCAACGGGGTGTGGACCACGAAATCCCTATAACATGCTCTTAGAAGGAAAAGTGGGTGCTCTCTTCCGACCACTTTTACCCGAGATGACAGAAACAGGAACAACCATCTTCACTAAAAAATGGGAGCCATATTAAAACCATCCCATCATGTGCTCACCTCACCTGTGTGTGATCATCATGGTGATACTTATCCAGGCACCGGAATTTTCCCACCATATGGAAAATAAGACCCTTAATTTGGTGTGGGGGTGCATACTATAACCCCAGTACTCAGGGGACGTAGGCCGGAAAATCACAAGCTCTAGGTCAGCCTGGGCTGCATAGCAAGACTCAAACAAACCTAAATAAAATAGAATCAAAGAGGAGAATCATCTTAACCTCTCCCCGACTCCTGAGCGTGATGAGATGTCTGTCTTCTAGCTCAAGAAGACTCCAGAGCCAGGACTCCCTACACCTGGACCGTACACTTAGGTCAAAGTAATCCAGCCGGATTTTATAGGTTCTTCAGTGGGTTCACAAGGGATGGGATGTAGCTTGGATCACAGGAGGTCCTGGGTCCCTAGCATCGAATAAACAGGGCTTAGGGGCACAGGCCCATGATGGAGGCAGGAAGATCAGAAATCCAAGGTCAGCCTTATCCACATAGTAAGTTCTAGGCCAGTTCCTGCCTCAAAAAAAAAAAAAAAAAAAAAATCACAATTTGCTTTAAAAGACACCAAAGCTGAAAAGCTGCTCGGTTTTGCAGTAGCAGTCATCACCACTTACAGAATGAAAGGACCGTTGGCTCCTTGGCAAGAATGGTGAGATTCAGCAGCCAAAATATCTTAGGTACGCCGAGAAGGCCCAGTGAACCACCCACGGAATTCAGCGTCCCCTGGCCAATGAAGAGCAAACACCTCGTTAACCCACTCCACAAGCCAGGCACTTTACTGCTATTTCACCCACAGAAATGCGAGCACACTTCCTTAGTAAAAGCCTTTTAAAACAGAAAGCTCCGGCTGCCTCTTCCATTAATTTTTTCAGCTGCCTCTGCCTTGTCTAATAAAGACTGTTTGCTTTTGTGATTCTTAAATCCTAAGTGCAGGATTTCTCATACGTAAAGAATATGATACAGACCCTTTATGAATGTGGCATAGTAAATGTTGCCACAAAATACTGTAAAGCGATGGCCACCGCTTCCCTTCAACACTTGGAAGAGCGTGCCTTCCAGCGGATTAACAACACAGGCCAAAAAAAGCTGTCATGTCAACCCTGTGGAGAGGAGCAGATAACATCAGGTTAATTGGAATCACCTCTGTTTTCACAAACTGGATCCAGTAGTAAAAGTATTTTATGGTCTACTAAAATGTAGAGTACATGACATATCCCTAAATAAAAATCAGGCACGTAGCCCCACCTGCCAGGTGGTAGCCATCTTTGAAGGTTCAATCCAGTCTTTCAGGAGACCAACTAGAGGGAACTATCTAAAGAATCCTCCGCCATGGGGGCCACAGAGAGGGCAAAGTGGCTAAGAGCGCTTGTGGCTGTTCCTGCAGAGAACTTGGATTTAGTTCTCAGCACCTATCTGGCAGCTCACAACCATCTGCAATTCCAGTCCCAGTGGACTCAATGTCCTCTTCTGGCCTCCATGGGCACCATGCATGCACACAGACATAAGAGGAGAGAAACAATGGTACACATTTAAAAAAAAAAAAAAGGAAAAGAATTCCCCTACAGAATGCCATCGTTCTCAGGCCCTTCTGTTTAACCACCAGTAGAGACGCTGCAGAAGCCATTTCAATTTGATAATTTTTAGAAGGTCTCAAATAACGGCTAACAACTTTCTACAGGGATGCCAGAAGAAAGGCGGGAAATGGAAAATTACGGTTGGAATTGCCATCCTTAGAAGAGCCGGTTAAGCCGATGATACGTGAGCAGAGCTCAAGTCTGCTACCTGACTACGGAAGCCACGGATTAAGTTTGTTTGATTAAACAAACTTTAAAATGCTGCAGGTTTTTACCATTTTACTTTTAAGCCTTGGGCTTTTTTTTCCTCTACACAAACTGAATGACAGCCCCAAAGTTTTGAACTTGGAGTAGAGGAAGCTTCCAGCAGAAACATTTAGGAGTATCACTTGAGGCTGGACATGTAGCTCAGTGGCATAGGCAAGACCCTGGGTTCAAAGGCTGAGTCCCCAGCACTACAAATAAACACACAACTAAGCAAATATCACTACCCCTCTGGACAAAGAAAGGGAGCCACCATACCTCTCCATTCTACTCTCTCCCCACCTGCAAATCCAAGTCACACCTCCCCGTCGTCCTAGTTACAGAAAAGTAAAACGGGGAACAATAAAGGAAAAAGCCCTCACACACACACACACACGCACACGCACACACACACACACGCATGCACACGCACGCACACTTACACACACACCACTCACATACATACACACCACTCACTCACACACATACACCACACACACGCATGCACGCACTCACGCACGCCCCTAGGTCATGGGGAACCTCTGCTCCAAAAGCCTACACATCTAGATTAATGCACAAAGCAGCAGGGGTATCCCGTTTTGCAGATACCTAACAGTCACTATTGGAATACCCCATATTTCAAAGATGTTTTCAGTGTCTTTTAAAATACTTCAGAGTCTTTTAGGTAATTTCTCAGCTCCTTTATGATGCATGTCTCATTTTTCTCACCTCTTCTGATATGTTTATCAATTCTTCGCTGCTATAAATCTTTTGTCCGTAACTGGTTATTTCTAATGAGGAAACTGAGACCCAGAGAAGTGAAAGTAGCTGAATATGGTTACATAGCACGTATGATGGAGATCGCATTCATTCAAAATGAGCTGATTCCAGAGCCCGCACAGGCACCAACTGAAGGAATGGGGACTGTTTAAAACAGAATTGGGTGAGGACGGGGGTCTGATTGTTGGCGTGCATTTGCTCTGCCGGGGCTTGAGAATCCATCTGGAGTGAGGCCTTCCCAACATGCTCTGCTTTCAAACAATGGACACCCCAGCAGGCCGGTCTGTCCACAGGAGGTCTAGGTCCTCGACCCTAGGGAAATGGGGATTTAAGTGGTCTTCCAAACAGTCCAAAGCAACCCTTCGGATCTGTGTAGCACTTGCTCAGTGGCAGTTAATGAGAAATGATCTTAGAAAACCTTAGTTACGCCGCCGCTTTAAGGAAGAGGTGTGGGGGCCGGGGGAGATGGCTCAAAGGTTAGAGCACTTACTGCTCTTGCAGGGGACCTGGGTTCATTTAGTTCCCAGCACCCACACAGTGGCTCCCAACTGTCTGTAACTCAAATTCCAGGGGATCCTATGCCCTCCTCTGACTTCTACAGGCTCCTACACACACATGGCACACATACATATACTCAGACACACACACATAAATAAACAATTTTTTTTTTTTTTTAAGAAACATGATTCTTAGATAAAATAAGAAATAACACTGGGTGGCAGTGGTGCACGCCTTTAATCCCAGCACTTGGGAGGCAGAGCCAGGTGGATCTCTGAGTTTGAGGCCAGCCTGGTCTACAGAGCGAGATCCAGGACAAGCACCAAAACAACACAGAGAAACCCTATCTCGAAAAACAAAAAAAACAAAAAAAAAAAAAGAAGAAGAAGAGAAAGAAAGAAAGAAAGGAAGGAAGGAAGGAAGGAAGGAAGGAAGGAAGGAAGGAAGGAAGGAAGGAAGAAAGAAAGAAAGAAAGAAAGAAAGAAAGAAAGAAAGAAAGAAAGAAAGAAAGAAAGAAAAGAAATAACATGTTGGGAAACATCCAGTATTTCCATTGATAACCATTAAGCTTTAGGATGCTGGTGACACACCGTTTCTGTATCTGGAGTTCTACTTACATGGGTGAATTCATGAACACATGAACACATGTACTTACCTTATGTCCTCACCTTCTGTATGCTGAACATGCTCAGTAAAGCTTTTAAACTACAAGTAGAGAGATGTTTTATGCCTGCCCTGTTCCAGTGTAAACTGGCCTTTAATAAGCAATAAAGCACACAAAGTTTGAATATAGAGATGGAAGCCATAAGACTCCTCTCTCTTAATGGAGCTTCGCTACAATAAGCATGCTACTCTTAACCAGAAAGCTGTTGCCTTGGAAACAGGAACTGTCACTACTGCAATCACACCTCGCAGCAAAGATGGCCAAGATCTATTTCAGTTCTGAGACGCCTCAAGGAACTGCAGATGATTGTAGCTATGGAAGATAGCCAATCTGTAGTAATGAAGAGGCGCGGGCCAGCATTAGAAAGGCTGCAATTGAGAAAGAAGAGGTGGAGAAAGAGGAAGCAGTCGGGAGGGAGGGGAAGACAGAATTCAAGAGTCAAGCAATCCCAGAACCACACAGCTGAAAGACCAGCCCTTTCAGTGAGTTAGCCAATGCCACTCTATTTAGCTTACGATTGCCTACAGCCCCATGGGAGGTGTAGGGAGCAAAAAGCCGAATAGGGCCAGCTCTTCTGCAGGAAGTACATGCGTGCTCAAAGCATGTTCACTGGAAGTACACATACGCCAGGACAAAGCAGGAGAACTCCTGCAGTGAAAAGTGGGAGGTAGGACAAGAGTCTCAAAGACAACGTGACAGTCCTAGGCAGAGTTCCTCAGGCAGAGGTCAAGGTGGGGCATCTCAGGCAAAGGGCATGGTCCTGTTGATCAATAGGACCTGCAATTCTGGGTGGAACATTTCCATATGCAGAGGACTTTCCCACGCAGGACATTCGCCATCTCTGGCTCTGCCCATTGACCTCTGGCAGCAACTGCTAATCACTGCGATGAGTGGAATGCCTCCCATCACCACAGCCCCCCCCCCCCCCCCCGCCCCGGAGCGTGAAGATGGTGCTGCCACTCTAATGGAGAAGTGGCAAGGACTTAGAACAGACCTGTGGCTGAGGCAGGGGCTGGGGGAGGGGCAAGGATGCGCACTGAGGATGAGAGTGCAGCAGAGACCAGAGTGAAGCCCCCCCCCCCCCCCAGGGCCCCAGGGAGGCCCAAACTCCATTCTAACCCTGGAGAAGAGAGAAGCGGTGACTGGGCAACTCACGGGGTCCCGGGAGGTAGAAAATAGTTTGGACAAGTGAGTCAACATGACTGGCACCGAGCATAGCCCTGAATGTGACCTAAGAGTGTGTTTGGAAGGGGACGGTGAGCTGAGCCATAACAGGAGGCTGTAGCACTTGGAGGGCATTCATGTGGGCATCTGAGAAGCAATCAACAGCTGGCCAGCTGCTGGGGAGAGATAACCAGAGTGGAGGAACAGACCTTCATGTCCTAGGCATGCCCACACCATTCCCTGGGGTTGGGGGAGGGGGAATATTCCCCAACCTGCTAAATAAGCTGGAGAGAGAGACAGAGCAGGTGCAACCATCTGCCGCCAGCAGGGAGGGAGGGGGAGGACAGCCCTGGCAAAATGTAGGTGGGCTGCCAGGTAGCCCCAAAACTAGAGAGTTCTGCTCTTTGTCAGCCCAAAGGAGCAGGTGACTACCACACCCGATAGAAATGACCCACTCCTGAGTTACGAATAATGACACCTGAGTTCTAAAAGACTCGACATAGTAACTTTATTCCGTTCTTGAGTATTCAAGGAGCCAATTAAAATCCCCTCCACCTTGAACAGGGAGTGGGGAAAACATGGTAAGGGCGAGAAGAAGTGATGTAATTATATTTTAATTTAAAAAACAACAACAACAACCCATATTTCTACTATGACTTTAGATAGGGCTCTGGAAACCTGGTAGGCCAAAGGTGCAGAATTTCTGAGAATTAAGCAGACCTGCATTTTTCTCCGGATCTAAGGAAACCTGTGATGGAAATAAAAGAAACCAACACAGAGGAGAGAGGGGACCCAGCAAAGTGTGACCACAGAGTGGTCACAAGGGGCAAAAAGCCTAAGAGCTCTTAAAAAGCAAAGTAAATGAATAAGTAATTCAAGGAAAAGAGTGTGCAAAAAGGCTGAAGGATATATTTTTAAAAAGTGTCTAACCTCATCAGGGCTCTGGGGGATGTGTCCATTTTTCTCATATTAGCATGTCAGAATGTTTAGAGCAATAATTCCTTGGGCTGGAGAAATGGCCTCTGTGGAGCTGAAGAAGCCTGTTTGCACATCCCCCGCCGCAAATCTAACTGCTTCACATGGAATGTTGTTGTAAGAGAATTCCAGCCCTGAAATATCCAGCGATCACACCGAAAGCTATGCTACCTGGCACTGGTCTCATCGGTCAGAGTTGGTAAGATCCTGGTACTGACACTTGCCCTCCAAGTGCCTGTGGCCCGTGGCCCAGCCCAACAGTCATTTCCCACTAGAACTGTTCAAAAGCCAAAATTATTGGAACAAATAGAAACAGAAACGCCTTGGCTTGGATTTAAAAGCAGTAGTCCCCTCTGAGGGACTAAACGTGGCTAGGAATTCCTTCCAATGGGCCACTCAGAGCCCAAACTGAAGCGGCCTGTAAAGGAAGCTGGAGGGTCCAGAGCCAAGCGCTGCCTGGCCCACGCGTTCTGGCAGGTAGGTCAGGTTCCTGAGGCGGCCAGCAGCCTGCTCAGTCTCAAGTACCAGCGGGCTGGGCCCTGGGAGGTGATATTCTGAAGGCCTCGAAGCACTCATTTACAGGGGCCAAAAACCACGAGTCCTTGTCCATGTCGGAAACAACCTATGAGGGGAACCTGGGCACAAAGCAAGCAGCTTTCTGACCTGTCGGGGTGCTTTGGTTTTTTTAATTAATTCCTTTAACTGATCAAAAGATAAAAGCCTGAAACCTCTACTTCACTGGGCTAATCATCCTAGACGCTGCTCCACCAACCACAAAAGCATCAGGATGAGGGGACAGCGTCCCTCGTCCCACTGCAGATGGAGCGCAGCATACCCCACACCAACTGAATGGCTGCAGAGGAAGGGGAGGAGGAGGAGGGGGAAAAGAAGAGGGACAGTGGCCATCATCACAGACATCACTAAGAGGACTCGGAATTTGAAAGGTCTGTTCCGTCCTGCTGAGATAATGGCTGGGTCCTCACAACAGGGGATTCAGGAAAAGCTCCCAACCCGGTTTCCTCATCTGTGAAATGGGAACGAATGTTGTGAGCATGTCCTAAGCCCGCTATGAAGCATGCGTGAGGAGAGCACGCACACCAGGTGAACTGCCCAGGAATCCAGCCACCAACCCCCTCAAGGCAGGCCTCGACTTCAGACAGCCACTTCACCTGAGATCAACCAAGCCTTCCCGCCATGCCTACAATAACATTCTGCTCAGTTCCTGACAGGCAGAAAAAAAAACGGCCAAGCAATATTGGCTCAAAGCAGGACACCATGGCTGTTCACCCTCAGGCTTCCAACCAAGGTGGCTGAGGCCTTTCCCTCTCTTGGCTCTGCCTAAAGGCGCTCCTTCCCATGGGAGGTGGCCACCCCTTGAGCACCCTGCAGCCCAAGAGAGCCCTCCAAAGCTCGGCTGCCAACACTGCCTTCCCTCAGTTTTAAGTTCTCAGATTGTGGAGAAAGACACATTTGTTTCTAGTCAAGTCTAGTAGTTCATTCATTCATTCACCAAATATGTCCAAATACTATCAGCTAGGGGTATCCACTGGGGTGACATCTAGGGATGCTGATCGCTCAGGGCCTTCTCTGTCAAGGATGGTGGTTCTCAGTAGGGCAGCCCTGCCCTCCGGGCTTTGCGGTTAAAGAGGGAGCTCTGGGTTGTTATGATGACTGGAGGCTCTACTCTTTGGGGGGATGGAGCAAGAGAACTCCAGAGCTAAGATCCTATTGAACTCCTGAAGGGCCCTCCTTTTTTGGGGGGAACCTAGATTTTTTTTAAAGATTTAGTTTGTTTTTTTTTGGTTATTTTTAATTGCATGTATGTGTGTGGGTCTGTGAGGTGGTATATATACATGGGAGCTCCCAGAATCCAGAGACATCAGATCCCTGTAAAGCTGGAATTATGTGCAGTCATGAACCCCCTAACATGATTGCTGGGAATCAAACCCAGGTCCTCTGCAAGGCACTATGAACTCTTAACCACTGAGCCATCGCTGAAGGTTCCTCTCAATAATGGGGCTTCAACTCTAAATATTCTGAATTTTATATGAATTTGATGATCCTACATGGAAAAGTGCATTCTGTTTTATTCAAAGTTCCAAGGTTTTCGACCGGCTCTGAAAATCCTGGCTTTTATAGGAATGTTGCTCACAGTTAATGAGGCACCTCTGCGTCATACCTGCATTGGTCTACACTGAAAGTCCACGTAGCCTCAGTGAAGGCTTATTTAGTGCCCTCCCATTGTGGTGCTTAAGACAAACCCAGGGCTTCACATGTGTGAAAGATGAGCCCTTCCGACTGAGCCATACTTTGGCCCAAACTCTTATTTCTAAAGTTACATATAAAATTTATTGATGGTATTCAGTTCAGTATTTCTCAGATTCAACTAGCTTATTATAAGACTAAAAATATGATCCTCTCATGTCTTCAATGTATCTATACATACTGATGTGCCATTTTACTATAAATCATTTTCATATTTCTCATATTAGCATTAGGTTTCTCTATAGATCTCTCTGTGTGTGCGTAAGTGTGTATGTGTGTGTGCACGTGCACACATGTGCACGGAGGCCAGAAGTGGACACTAGGTGTCTCCCTCCATCATTCCCCACTTCATTTTTTGAGAAGCCCGGCACTGGGATTACAGGCAAGCACCACCATGTCAGACTTCACACAGATGCCGTTAGCCTTGTCGACAGCGTCCTCTGGGATTATAACCAGGAATCACCAGGATTATGAGGGATTTTTTACATACGGCTGGGAAGACTCAAGTAAGGATTGTCGGGTCTCACTAGCGGGGTACTGAGCCATGAACCACAGCAAAGTGACTTATTTGGGAGAGCAGCAAGGGGCTCACAGCACCCAGCGCTCCGTGCTCCCACTGACAAAGCAGCCTGTGTTTGGTCAGAGTGTCCGGACAGGGGCTCCCAGGGCGGCCTAACAGCAAGTGACCACAGCGACGAGAATGGATCGGTGGGAAAGGTGGGGACAGGAACAGGCTGGAAGAAAAGCAGTTGGCTGGTGCTAAGGGGTTAAGTGGTGTTGGTCCAGCCGTCAAATCGCGAAGTGCTAAGATTCTGTGATCTAATACAGGAACACAAAAATAATCAACAGTGAATGGTAATGAAAAGGAAACACACCAACTCTACACCGTATTCTGCATTCTGAACGTACACCCAGAAAAAAAAAATCTCTACAAAGGGAAAGAGGGGGGCTCTTCACACTCATGCCACTAGCCATGTGGTCTCGGCTTTAAATGCCCTGAAGACCCCTCGCCCTACCTTCTCTTCCCTCAGCCGACATGTAGGTCACCAGCAAGCAAGTGCCTCACACCTCTGAGGATAGAGCCCTTTGACCTTGGGAATATTTGGAGCAGAAACAGGTGGTGTGAGTTGGGGCAAACATTCTAGAAGACAATACCACCGGTTCTAAGGGAAGAGCCCCTCCTCATGCGGTTCTCACATTCATTCTGTACAGTCTGCCATTCTCTGGGTCTCCCGCATCCTTCAGACGTTAGCTTCTCATGGCAAGCACTGTGAGTACGTCAGATGAAGGGGAGGCTTTCTTACGGTTTCAGGCTGGGTAGTGTTTCAGAACCACAGGATTGCAGGGCTGAGCTCAGCCAGGCTGTACTGATGAGCAGATTGCATATCCCTCATGCTGCCCACATTTCAGAGACTGATAAAATATC